ACCTATGTCTGGACTGGAACTGCCCGTCAGTGGCCAAAGACGAAGTGCTGCCCAAAGACCCGAAGTTCGCGCTCAGCAGTGAGAAGAAGCTGTTCGAAGAGGCGCTGCTGAGGACCACTTGTCTCAAATTCGTGGAACTGTTTCTCTCCCAGAAGTTCAAACTCCGGACATTCATATCACCGAAACGTGTGAAGCGATTGTTTCGCAAAATACAATCGCGAGACTTCTTTCAGACGGTGTGTTGGCAGACAATACTCGGCCGAACCGCTGACGACCGGCAGCCCAAGAACTACATCAATCTGGAGCTCAATTGGTTGGTAGAGGTGTGCACCGGAATCGTTAAGTTCTTCGACGAGGAAGAGCTGGAGTTCTTCATCACTCAACAGTTCCCGTACAGCGAGAGAGTGGCCGAACGTAAGGCCCTATTAATACTGATTCTGTGGGCTGTGTTGGACTTCCGTCAAGACTTGGTCCGCGTGTTGTGGCGACACAGCGAACAACCATTACATATGGCGCTATTGATCGCCGTTTGTTACGACCGGCTCTCGTGGTATGTGACAGAAGAGGGTCGAGTCAACGAACTGAAGGCCGAGTCCAAGATTTTCATAACGTTCGCCACTCGAGTGCTCGACACCTGCCATAAGGACTCTATCAGTCGCACACATCAGGTGCTCAACGAGAAGACCAAAGATTACGGCTTCAGAACTCCCGTAGATTTGGCCGCTTTCGGCCGTTTTATGGACTTCTTTACGCACCCCTCGTGTCAGATGTGGTTAACCAACAAGTTTTACGGCAATATAGCGGTGCGAGACGTCGGCAACACGTTATTCAAAATGCCGGTCGTATTGAAAGTGTTGATCAGCGCATATATGCTGTTTCCCGCCTACTTCTGGATCCGTTTGACCAACTATTCAGTCAAAAGTGATGACCGCGAAGAAGAGGTCGACGACGACGACGAAGATCTGAGCTTAAAAGCCGAACGCAAAAAGAGTGAACACCATATCAAACCACCCGCGGCTAAAAACAACCCGAGTCTGGCCACCGCCTCTTCCGTCAGCCCGACGTCCAGCGAAGACGAGAGTAAGAGTCCAGCGGTAGAGCCGCCGAAGAAGACGGCCGAACCCATTAAGAAGCCGGTGATTAAACAGCACAGCGAAGAGATCACCGGCGCGTTTGATAAAGTGGTTTACAACCGATACCCTCCGCCCTGGACTCTCATCTACGAGCTGTGGAACGCGCCTATTGTCAAGTTCTGGAACTTCCAGTACTTCTACATCTTCTACTTGTCTATATTCAGTTTGGCAGTGCTGTACCCGCGCTGTGGCAACGTATACCTCGACGGTGTCGTATGCAAGTGGACCTTCTGGATCATTGTGGACGACGTGCGCCAGACGTATATCATGAACAATATGGGCGCCAGTATATCGTTGCCCTCCCGCGCCATATGCATCAGCTTTAAGGTCTTCTACCTCACTGTCTATGTCTCCCATCGACTCTTAGCCACGAGAGACACAACGTATTTATTGTTTACGCCTTACGGCGAAAAAGTAGTGCTATGTCTGGCGCTGTTGTACTCCTATTACGAACTGTTCACTATATATCTGCCCATCTCTGCCACTCTCGGGCCACTCATATATCGGCTCAAAATTATGTTTTTGGTCGACTTCTTGAACTTTATCCGACTCTCCATTTTGGTCATCATTAGCTTCGGCATTGTCTTACAGACCATCTACTTTCCCGACCAGTCTATTAGCAACGAGACCTTTCGACAGCTGTTCCACAGGGCCTTCTTCTCGCTCTTTGTCTCACCGATCGACGAATTAATCCGTATTTGATTCACATTTCATTAGAAACTAATTTTATTTTATTTATTGATTATGCTTTTAAATAGTGGACCAGAATTGCGAGAACACATACCTACTAAAGGACAGCAACCAGACGTCCGGCATTTGTTACGCCAGTAGCTATAGCTCCGACACGTGTCGTGTGACCGGTTTCTGGCCCTACACTTTCATTATCACATACTTTGTTATATTAAAGCTAATTCTGACCACTCTATTGTACGCCATGTTTGCTATCAGTACTCAGAAACTGGCCGACAATACGGACACCATCTGGAAGTTTCAGCGCTACGGACTGGTCATCGATTTCGAGGTCCGCACAGCACTGCCCCCACCCCTCAACATCTTCTACTACTGCTGGTGGGCTATCACGTGGACCTACAGAGCCCTTCAGTATCGGCCCTTTAAGAAAGACACTTTTGTAAACATAATGTTGCCATAAGAATACAATTACCATAATATTTGTGTGTGTTTTGTTGATTTGCATAGAAATTCAAAGACCTGTTTCTGTCATCGGAGGTGAAAAGTCAGTCTAAACCGTTGGCCGACGACGACTACACTTATCTGAAACTACTGGCCGATCAGGTATACGACGCCCATCACAGCCACACCAGCGCCGAGACACTAGCGATGCTTCAATGGGAACGCATTAAATGGTTTGGACAGGAATTGGAGGCCAATAAGCGAATGATGAGACAATTGCACGGCAAACAGGCGGAGATGGAGAGATCACTTAAACTGCTTGTGTCCAAAACCAAGTGATTTATCACATACTCTATTGTCGACTATACTTTGATTTAAAATACTTGTAATACTATTTCTTTAATACATTTATATTGAGATATTTTTAACAGTTATAACACTTATAGATATAATATTATTATAATTAGATATTGCATTTGATTACTGTTTTCGCAAATGCACACCGATTTTTATGGCATCATAAATCGGTGTCACATATATTGATATTTTGTTTAAAAGTGTATATTTGATTATAATTATATTTATTAAATAAACTTTATTTTATTAAATTAGTCTTGGGTATTAAATCACAAAATTATACTCTATCAATACAGATACCTAGAACGAATATTGCACTAATTAAATATATCAGTATTTACAATGAATAATAAAAACATATATTTACATAAATTAATAATTATAAGTAAATATAA